TAGTAGCTTAGGTTGGATGGCATGGCCTTTTAAGACTTGGAATGCATTTCTCCAGGTTCTTTTGGCTTTCAAAGATCCATTTAGATGTCGGCTGTTGTCATAATAAATGTGCTCTTTCACTTACAGATTTCATTATTCCATGAGTATTTCATTTTCTGATCTTGTCCAATTAGTGTTCTCTTTGTTTTTTATATTATTATGGGTATGTCTTTTTTTAGTTTAGGGAAAATTTCTTTTAGGGCCTTCTTAAAGATCATATCTATGTCATTGCCTGGGGATGTTTCTTCCTCTTCTATAACTCTAATTTGAAGATGCGGTCTTTTCACAGTGTCTAACCTTTTCTATGTGTTTCCTTCCTGGAGATTTTTTCTTTTTGTATTTAATATTCTTAGCTTATTTTGTCTAGATCATCTACTTAATAAGTTCTTATATTGTATCATCTGCTGATTAATTCTATTGTAAGTTTTTCTTTTAAGTTTTCTTTTTGGATAATTGGTGTTTTTAATTCTGTATTCATTTCTGCTAGAGTCCTCTTTGGGGTTTCTCTTTATTGAATTCCAGTTTCAAATCCTCAATTGTTTTGTCATTTCCATCATTCTGATATTTTTGATTTCTTGGGCATCACTCAAGTACTCGTTCTCCTTAAGTTCATTGTCTTTAATGACACTGAAATGCTTCTTCTTGCCTTTTTGAAATGTGTTGTAGTCTTTGATGAAGGTTGTGACTGTAATTCTAAAGTCTGTGTCCTAGTGTTCATCTAAGCAATGTGTCAATGGCAAATGTTTCTAGACATCTTGGAGTTCATTGAGAGGAAATGCCAATGTGAACTTTTATATTGTTTATTTTTTCTATGAGAGCTGGTCATAAGGTTTTTAGGGAAAATGCAGGCTTGTCCTAACAGTCAGCCCATCTGCGGCAAAATTTAATGTTGTTTTATTAGGTTTGCGTGTCTGACTTCATAATGGCTTCCTTTATTCTTCTCAGTTATAAAACAGCTCTATATTCTTTTAACACACGTTGATTTTCTTTATATTCCCTTTTTCTTTGGTTTGAGTTCCTCTTAATGTGGTTAGAAATGAACTTCTTTAATTTTCATGAATTTTAGCTAAATCATAAAGAAAATAATCAAGGAATTGTGTTACACATGATTAACTTGTGATAGTATTCTTCAGTGATGATACAAGATGCAATATGGTCATTTGTGATAATATGGATGATGTTGGGTTTGTGAGCACAGAACAATCAGAAGCAATTCAGGAAAGAGGCTGAGGACAACAGATAAGCCTGCATATCAGTACACACAGAGAAGGGCATCAAGTCCCCTGAAAGCATGCAATGGGGTGTTGTGTGAAGGGAGAAGCCAAGAAGGCTTGGACCTTGTAGAGAGACAGGTAAGAGGCTTGGAAGTGAGGAAGTTGATGCTGCTCGAGGAGCCCCTACAAGTCTGCAGTCTCTCCCTCCTGGTGTTGTCTGCTTGGGGAAGTAGAATTATCTTGAGTGACAGGCTGTCCCCCAAAACATTGCTTTGTGGGTTGTATCAGAAAGTAAGATTGAAGGCCAGCTGTATTCATACAGGAATCCTGTTTTTACAAGCAAGATTCTATCAGATGGGAAAAGATATTATTATTTTAGGCATAAGAAGATAAGTCCCACATCCTATGTGTCCAAGCTTCTTATGCTCGCACGCTGACTTACCTGTATCAGCAGCACTTCTGACCAAGATCAATGGAAGTAATACACTCTGCTTGGTGATAAAGCAGGACTGCTCTGAGATTAAAGATGACTTTGGCAACTTACCCACTCTTTCAAGACACATGTCTCAACTTTGGAAAACAGTTTGGCAAAGGACAGATTTTAGGAGAGAAAGGTTGATTTTGTGCTGCAAAAATTTCTTCATTCCCGAGCCCCTCAATCTGCCCCTATAAATGGTCATAGCCTCATTATCTGCTATACTCCTCAATTTGCTACAAAAGTGAGTCTGTCTCTCAGTGTGTGAACCAACAAACGCAGTCCTGTTTGTTAAAGGTCAGACTTCTGTCTCTTTTCTGTCTTCTGTCTCTTTATGCTGCCTCAGAAATCTAACAGTATAAGATGTTGAATCTAAAGGATTATAAACCAAGTTAGAGAAATAATTTTTATTCATCTGCTGGTAATCTCAGGAAATAGAAGCCGGGAGGCACATTGTTCAGTGGATACTATTCATTTAAAAGATGAAGGAATCTTAGAGTACTAGTGTTGTCCTGAACCCAAGGGAATAAGATCTCAAAGGACAATAGATGGACCAGGGCTAAAAAGAGAAAGACATAAAGAAGACAAAGTAATAGCTGGGAACTGGACAAAGAGCAAGATCAGGTCTATCCAGGGTAGGGGTGAGAGAATTTTACTTTACAAGATCTATCATGTCTAATGGAGATGTCCCATCTTCTCCTTCCCCCATCATCCTCCCATCTTCTCCTTCCCCTCCCTATTTCTCCTTCTCCTCATTGTGATCCTTACCTTTGACCTCCAGCTTGGCCACCAAAGCCCTGCCTACCTCTACTTTCCCCCATAATTGACTAGTGCTAGTTTGATTTAACCAATAGTTTTACATTGGAGACCAAGGTTTACACAAGGAACACTGGTGTACATGGGAATCTGCTTGTCTTGGACATACAGGTACATGAAGGTACCTAGGACATGGGGTAAAAAAGTTAGCATTTAAATACATAGAAGCACCAGACCAAACCACCACAATAATGTATGGTATTCATCCTTTTTTTTTTCTTTCAGGATATGTTGTCATTCTGGGATGTGGCTATATATTTCTCTTCAGAGGAATGGGAATGCCTGGGTCCTGCTCAGTGGAAACTGTACAGGGATGTGATGTTGGAGAATTACAATAACCTTGTGTTTCTGGGTGAGGATAACATTCATGATGAATTCTTAATTAATTGTCAGCATAAAACTTGCTCCCTTTGTACAGTACCTCATGGGAGCTTGTGCTTCTAACAGGGAGGTTCATAGGACTACTTTTATAAAAATTAAAATTATTCACATACCTTAGAATTTTTCCTCTTGTGTTCATATCGCCCTATTAAATGTATCATTTGTATTACAAAATAAGTGGTACACCTTAAAGAGACTGTCACACACTTTGGTTTTAAAAGTTTTCCCCTGTAACTGAGGAATATGAAGCTTGGAACCCACAAACTAAGTTCCTCCTAAGCATTCTTATGTGCCCATCAGAAAACACATGAGAACTGGTCCTCCATACTCCTTTATTGTATTTTCTCATTCTTGTATACACAGCCCTGGAGGGACATTTTATTTCCCATGTGACCACAGTAACAATCTTGTCCCCTTTTCCCACAAACAGGTCTTGTTTCCTCTAAGCCACACCTGGTCACATTTCTGGAGCAAATACAAGAGCCTCCAGATGTGAAGAGTCAAGCCACCATCACTGTGCATCCAGGTGTGTCAGAGGGCGGGTGTCAGAGAATAAAGTGGGGAATTTTAAGATACAACATAAAGCCATTGAGACAAAATATCCTGGTATAAATCATCTTTTAAAGATCTAATTTTGTCTTTCTTTCAAAGGAGGACATCATGTAATGTTTAGGATGCTTTGAGTCCCATAAGCTTTGTTTTCTTCTACCATGAGATTAACTTGTGTTTCCCAAGACAGCCTAAACTCTGTCTATTTTATGTAATTTTTAACTTGGCTATTTATGTTTTTTATGAGATACATGTACATGCATTTTTAAAAGTCCTGATTTTTCTTTATCCCCAGCTAGCTCCCAAATGAGTGAGACAGAGACAATAAGAGTTATTTGATGAGTTTTACAACACAGTTCCTGGGCAGTTAATAATCGATTCTAATCCTTTAAGTTAATCTGATGGCCTCCCAGCCAAAATCCACATGATAGTTGCATTTTACTATTGGCCTGACTCTCTGGGTTTCAGAGATCTTTTAAAGTGTCTCTGGACACCTTCCTCATAGATATCCCCCCGCACCACCCTCTCTCTCCCTGTATTTTTTTGTGTGGGGGGTGTGTGTGTTGTGTGTATGTGTGTGTGTGTATGTGTGTGTGTGTCTTTTTCCTTGGGCTGCCCGAAGTCCAGCTCTATTTTCTCTTCAGCCCAGCCATTGGGTGATCAGCTTTTATTGACAAGTCAGAAAATAAATGGGAGCAATATTTATACAAATTTAAGACAGTAGATTCTGAAAACAAGAATTACAAAGCCATGTCTGGATGACAAAAAGATATGGGGGGAGAGAAATCAGTGTTTGAATGATAGGATAATCTTTACACAGCCCATAAAAACATTATGCCTTAAGATTTGTGTAAAACTCCTTGCCTTGAATCCTTGAAATGTATTCTTTCGTGTTATTATGAAAAGTATTCTAATGCCACCTAGCTTTCATAGCTTCCAAAACCAAACTACATACTTACTATATAGAGATACATAGATATAGACATAGACAGAGATACAGTTTATTCAGGTGTTATATATTCAGAAAAATATATATCTTGCTTATTCAGGTGTCTTCCAAGTTACACTATTTTATACTTTCTTTTTAACTAGTCATAAAACTTTTGTGTTTGTTTAAAGAGTTGATTTGTAACTGTATAATGCTAATATGGGGTTTTGTAGTTGATATGTTTTGCTTACGTGTGTGAGTTTGGTTAATATTCCTGTGCTTCCATATTCTATGTGTTCATGGTCTTCTTAATTCAGTGGAAGTTTACATGACTTTCTCCTCTTCTGTAAATTAGGTTTAATGAATACAGATAGAAACTTGAATGTAGCTTATCATTTTTATAGACAAATGGAACTATGAGTTAATGTTTGGTTTTTAATAATAAGCATTCTATAAATACAGGATCTTACTCTGCTTTCATTCATTTCTCAACCCTTCCTCACCAGGGGGAAAATGCTATACATGCAAAGAATGTGGCAAAGCCTTTGAGCACAAAAAGGTGTATCAGCATCACTGGAGAATTCATTTAAGAGCGAAGCCTTCCAAGTGTGAAGAATGTGGCAAATCCTTCCGTTTTCCATCATTACTTTCTGAACACAAAAGAAATCATACAGGAGAAAAACCCTACAACTGTGAAATATGTAGTAAAGCTTTCCATGCTCCTCCATTGCTTTCTGTACATAAGAAAATTCATATAGAACAGAAATCCTACAAGTCTGAAGAGTCATTAGTTTCTCAACACAAGATAGTTAATACAGGAGAAAAACCCTACAAATGTGAAGGCTTTGGCAAGGCCTTCCATGTTCCATCAAGACTTTCCAACCATAAGAAAATTCATACAGGAGAGAAACCACACAAATGTGAAGTGTGTGGCAAAGCTTTTGATTATCCATCAAGACTTTCCAACCATAAGAGAATTCATACAGGAGAGAAACCCTACAACTGTGAAGTATGTGGCAAAGCTTTCCATGATCCGTCAAAACTTTCTCAACACAAAATAATTCATACAGGAGACAAACCCTACAAATGTGAAGTTTGTGGCAAGACCTTCCATTACCCATCCATACTTTCTAAACATAAGATAATTCATACAGAAGAGAATCTCTGCAAGTGTGATATATGTGGCAAGGCCTTCCATTATCCATTATTACTTTCTCAACACAAAATAGTTCATACAGGAGAAAAACCCTACAAATGTGAAGACTGCGGTAAGGCTTTCTATTATCCATCAAGACTTTCCAGACATAAGAAAACTCACACAGGAGAGAAACCATACAAATGTGATGTATGTGGCAAGGCCTTCCATTATCCATCCATACTGTCTAAACACAAGATAATTCATACAGAAGAGAATCCCTACAAGTGTGATGTATGTGGCAAGGCCTTCGACTATCCATCAAGGCTTTCCAACCATAAGAAAACTCATACAGAAGAGAAACCATACAAGTGTGAAGTATGTGGAAATGCCTTCTGTTTTTCATCATCACTTCGTAAACACAAGATAATTCACACAGGAGAGAAACCCTATAACTGTGAAGTATGTGGCAAGGCCTTTGGTTCTCCATCAAGACTTTCCAAACATAACAAAATTCATACAGAAGAGAAACCATACAAGTGTGAAGTATGTGGAAAGGCCTTCCACTTTCCATCATTACTCTCGGTACACAAGAGAATTCATACTGGAGAAAAACCTTACAAGTGTGAAGTATGTGGCAAGGCTTTTTATTGTCCATCTACACTTTCTGTACACAAGAGAATTCATACAGGAGAAAATGCCTACAAATGTGAAGAATGTGACAAAGCCTTCCACTGTCCATCAACACTTTCAGTGCACAAGAGAATTCATACTCAAGAAAAACCCTACAAGTGTGAAGTATGTGGCCAGGCATTCCATGTTTCATCAAAACTTTCTCATCACAAGAGAATTCATACAGGAGAAAAACCCCACAAATGTGAAATTTGTGGCAAGGCCTTCTATTATCCATCAAGACTTTCCAAACATAAGGTAGTTCATACACGAGAGAAACCCTGCTATGGTCAAGCATGTGGCAGGGCCCTCAATTATCCATCAAGACATTTCAAACTTAAGAAAATTATTACAGGAGAGAAACCAAACAAATGTGAAATATGTGGTAAAGCCTTCCGTTTTCCATCATTACTTTCAATACACAAGAGAATTCACACAGGAGAAAATCCCTATAAGTGTGAAGTATGTGGCAAGGCCTTCCGTTACCCATCAAGACTGTCTAACCATAAGAAAATTCATACAGGAGAGAAAGCATACAAGTGTGAAGTATGTGGCAAGGCCTTTGATTATGCATCATTACTTTCTAAACACAAGATGATTCATACAGGAGAGAATCCCTACCATGGTGGAGTATATGGGAAGGCCTTCAGTTATTCATCAAGAATTTCCAAAGATAAGAACATTTATACAGGAGAGAAACCATAAATATGCAAAGTATGTGGAAACACCTTCCATTTTCCATTATTACTTTCTAACCACAAGAGAATCATACTATACAAAAGTCCTACAGATGTGAAGTATGTGGCAAGGCCTTTTGTTATCCATCAAGACTTTCCAACCATAACCAAATTCATTACAGGAGAGAAAACATACAAGTGTGAAGAATGTGCAAATGCCTTCCATTCTCCATCATCGCTTTCTAAACACAAGAGAATTCAACACAATAAAGAACCTCTAGCCGGGCAGTGGTGGCGCATGCCTTTCATCCCAGTACTTGGGAGGCAGAGGCAGGGGGATTTCTGAGTTTGAGGCCAGCCTGGTCTACAGAGTGAGTTCCAGGACAGCCAGGGCTACACAGAAAAACCCTGTCTCGAAAAACCAAAAAAAAAAAAAAAAAAAAAAAAAAAACAAAGAGCGACAAATTGAAAAAGGGGGGGGGGGGGGGGGAGGAAGGAGAGAGAGAGAGAGAGAGAGAGAGGGATTCTACAAGTATAAAGTATGTGGGCCTGGCCTTCTATTCTAAATGCAAGAGAGTTCATTACAGATTTGAACCCCTACAATTGTAAAGTACAAGTCCTGTCCTTAGAGCTTCCTAGATTATTTCTCCTCATTTCATAGCCCATTCTGGAGAGAAACATTACACATGTGAGGAATGTGGAAAAGCGCTCTCTATGAGGTCATACTTATGTCTGCACAAATTAACTCATAATGTGGAGAACATATACTAATGTTATGGTAATTATTTAAAAACAGCCTCTGGTCAAGCCGACTATCTAACCTGCAGTGGCTCTGCCTAGCCCAGCCTAGCCCAGCTGCCATGTTTCTTGGCCTGAGGCCATGTGTGCACTGCAGTTAGAACCGGCCCGCCAGAAACGCCAGCCCTGCCACCCACTAGATGCCAGCATGAGAGGTGGCTCTGCCAATCTTCCATGCTGTCTCCACAAGACAGGGCATTGCCCAGACCATTCCGCCATCCATGCAGGCTCAGTAAGAGAATGAGACTCTAATTCTTATAGATTAATCAAAGGCTTTATATGTTTGATAATGATTAATAACAAGATGCCCATACAAAGAGTTGTATCCCAATTAGGTAACCTAATTATAAGTTTATAGGTTGTTTCCCACAAGTGCTCTCCATACCTGTGTGGTTCTCCATCCTCCTACATCTCTGCCCTCTCTAGCTCCTCCTCTTCCTTTTTTCTCTTTCTCTCCCAACTCCTCCTCTTCCTCTCCTTACTCCTCCCACCTTAGCTCCTCCTACATACTAATGCAAAGAATATGGGAAAATGCTCAACAAATCTTTAGGGATCATCAGATCTTTCTGAGAAACAAACATATGAATGTAAACAATGTGACAAATAGTTTAGAAGTTCCATTGTATGACCAAACATTGGATAATTCTTACTGGAGACAAACATTGCAAATGTGAAGAATATTGCAAAAGACTATTAGCAGTCTTCTGGTCTTAAACAACACTAAAGAATTCATCTGTTAAAGAAACATGAGAACTGTGAGAAATGTGCCAGGGTCTTCTGGCCTTACTAAGAACTTCTGTACCACCTCACAATTCATACTAGACTAAAATGCCACCTGTGAAAAATGTTGCAAATTTTAATAAGCTTTCTTATATTTCTTAAGACAAAGTAGTTCAACCTGGAGTGAAATAGTACAAATGTTAACACTCCTGAGACCCTAAAGTTTATTAAAACTTCATGCTGAATAAAAGCCTCTAAGTTTGGAGAATGTGGTAAAGCCTTTGGAATCATTCATACAACCATGTCAAAAGTGGAGCTGTCAGATGTGTTTCTCCTTGTGGCCTTGGGGCTGTCTTCTGTTTCTTCTGTTTTAGAAATGGAATGCCAGTGTGTGGTAAAAATAGTGACTTGTTTTTTCATTGTAGGAGCTCACAGTTAAGAGACTGCCTTGAGTCTCACTTGACACATGGACTGTGGTCTTTCATACTGTTGTAATTATTAAATACTTTTTGGACCTGTCAAGTTGTAGCCTATTTACTTATGAAGTGAGGGTAAGGTTGGGGAAAGGGAAGGAATGTTATGATTAAAAGCTTTCAGGAGAGAGCTAGCATGTTTGGGAACAAACTGAATTGTCAGCAAGACCCACACCCATATTAGTAATCCCAGTACCCACAAAATAGAAAGACGTAATTACCTCTGAAGGTTGTCCTCTGACTTTAATGCATGGGCCCACATATAATCATACATATGTGTGCCCAGACAAAATAAACTTATATTGCGTTTTAAAATTGAATTTGTGTTTTATGAAGACAGGGGTCAAGGAGTAGTGCTTACACCTCAATGGTCAACACTGTGAATTCTAGAAGCACGTGGGAGGCAAGCCTTAGGTTGTTGATTTGCAGGACTTACCTTGATTAGTTTAATTGAAGTCCGAAGACCTGTTGGTTATGGTTGGAAGTGTGTGTTTGACTGAGATGCTGTATTATTAGAAACTACCCTGAGAACACCTCTTCATCTATCTCCTGCTTCCTGACTGGCAATAGAACATGACGAGCTGCTTTAAGTTCCTGTTGTCATAACTTTCCCATCATGCATTGTGGTTGGAGTAAGAATTGCCCTCAGGGTCCATAGATTTGAATCTTAGTCATCAGGCAGTAGCACCTCTTTAAAAGAATTAAGGAGTGTGGCTTCGTTGGAGTAAGTCTGTCATTGTGAGCTCGTACTTGAGGTTTCCAAAGCTCAGACCCAGTGTGTCCTTCTTCATACTGACTGAGGATCATTATGTAGAATTCTCAGCTACTTCTCAAACACCAAGTCTGTGTGCATTTCACCATGCTTCCTAGCTTGCCTTTCACTATAATGATAATGGACAAAACCTCTGAGACTCTATACAAGCCCCAATTAAATGTTCTCCTTTTTTCTGATTTTTAAACTTTTACTTATGTATTCACTTTATATCCTGATTGCTGCCCCCTTTATGTTTCCTCTTACCAAGTCCCTATACCCTCCCCCTTCTCTGAGAGGGTAGAGGCCTCCCACCCCCATTATCTCCCCACCCTGGCACAGTCTCAGCAGGGTTAGGTTCATCCTTTCCCACTGAGGATGAACAAGGCAGCCCAGTTTGGGGAACGTATTCCACAGAAAGGCAAGAGTTTTAGGGATAGCCCTCACTCCAGTTGTTTGGGTATCTGCATGATGACCAAGCTGTGTATCTGCTACATATGTGCAAGGATGTCCAGCCTGTGTGTGTTCTTTGGTTGGTGATTCAGTCACAAAGAGCCCCTAATTGTCCAGGTTAGTTGACTATTGGTCTTCCGGGAGTTCCTACCCCTGTCAGGGCCCTCAATTCTTACCCCAGCTCTTCCATTTCAGTCCCTGAGTTCTATCCAATGTTTGGCTCTGGATCACTGCGTCTGTTTTAGTCAGTTGTTGGGTAGAGCTTCTCAGAGGACAGTCATGCTAGGCTCCTGTCTTAAGAAAAGATATACTTGGGGACTGGAAGGATGGCTCAACAATTAACAGCACTAGGTGGTTTTCCAGAGGATCCAAGTTCTATCCCAGAATCCACATGGCAGCTAACTTCTATCTGTAAGTCCAGTTCCAAGTAATCCACCACTCTCTTCTGGCCTCCTTACATTGCATACAGACTTGCACGGAAAATACCTTACATACTCGAACCCGAATAGGAAGGTCAAAGATCAGTAGATGTAAATTTCCCAGTACATGTTAAAACAAAATTGTAAAACTCAACAGAGAAAAAGAGCAACCCTGTAGCACTGTTATATCAGCAATGGTTAGATTCCATTGATTGTTGCTGCAACTTCCTTAGTGTAACAGCAGCCTCTGGATTGAAGAAAGATTTCTTTCATGAGTGTTTGCTCTCTTTGTTCCTTTAGAGGCCAGTATCCTTTACAGTGTGGAACGTCATGAAGACCAAACTGCACATCTTCTACATATCTGGGGGAGGTGAGGAGGCTATGTCCAGCCTTTATATACTCCTTGGTTCATGGGAAAGTCTCTGAGAACCCCCCAAAGGACCAGGCTAGTTGACTTTTGGTCTTCCTGTGGAGTTCCTATCCCCTTTGGGGCTTGCAATCCTTCCCCCAAATCTTCCATAAAATTTGCCAATCTATATCCTCTGTTTGACTGTGGGTCTCTGCATCCTACCAAGTAAGCTGCTGGGTGGAGCCTCTCAGAAGACAGCTATGCTAGATTCCTGTCTGCTAGCATAGCAATATCATTAATAGTGTCAGGGTTTGGTGCTTGTCCATGTGATGAGTGTTGCACATAGTTCCTTCTACCCACTTTAAGCTCTAGGAAAACTGCACTACCAGCCCTCACCCAGAGAATATTAGATCCTCAGATGAAAAACACAGACACAATGCTCAATTTCAACCTGTCTTATTGGCTCAGTTGTTCGATGCTTCTAATATCCCTCAGCTATCATGCCCTTTCCAATACTATTAGCTCAGCACCTCTTACTGCCCTTAACTTCTCCTTGTTCAACAACCCAAAACTGCCCTCAGCTTAGTTGTGTTTCTAATCTCCCACTTGGAAAATCGTCCTATGACTGCTCAGTCCAAGATCTCACATGGCTGGTCACCTTTTCTCCCTCCAAATCATGTCGGGGGCAGAAAAACCCTCTTAGCCTGCCTGTAAGGGCCCAGTAGCCCTGCCTCTTTCCTTCTGCCCAGCAATTGGCCCCCAGCGTCTTTATTGAATGATCAGGAACAGGACCTAGCAGCAGAACCAGCCCTTACAAATGGGTCTCAAATTGGGCCCGTTATGGATTGGCCATTCCCTCAGTCTCTGCTCCATCCTCTATCCTTGCATTTCTTGTAGACAGGATAAATTTGGGGTCAAAAATTTTGAGGGTGGTTTGGTGTTTCTATTGCTCCAATGGGGTTTCTGCCTGGCTACCTGAGGTGGCTTCTTTGGGATCCATATCTCCAGTGCTGTGAGTCACAGCTAAGGTCACCCCCATTGATTCTTGAGTACCTCTCCTATCCCACACCTCTCTCATGTCCTCGAGATGCCTGTCCCCACCTCCCCACCACCATCAGTTGCAGATTTCCAGTCTCATAGCCTTCTGGCCATCTCTCCTATCCCTCCCAATACCTGATCCTGAACACCCCCATTCCTCTCCCTATACCCTCTCTCATCCTGTTCCCTCCCTCCATCTGCCTCCTATGACTGTTTTATGCTCTATTCTGAATGAGATTCAAGCATTCTCGCTTAGGCCTTACTTCTTTAGCTTCTTTGGGGGACATGTAGCATGAGTATCCTGTGTTTTATGGCTAATATCCACTTATAAGTGAGGACATACATA